GCCCCGCCCCGCCCCGCGCTTTTTGCATGCCACATCTCTCCACGCCACGCCACCTCCCGCCTAGTCTCTTGTTATACGTTGTTGCCAAATGACGATACCGTGGCCAAAACTCAAATAACTTCCAATTCAGATAGAAACTACTGAAAGACACCAATGTGATATTAAACATACGAAAGTCAACATTACAAACCAGCATACTGTCTGAAGGTGTAGAAAAATCATGAAACCTGGATAGAGTTTAGCTCTTCATAGATAACAAATTGTTTTATTTGGATTCTAATGAATTAAGTTAAGGGCTGATATCAACTTGCTGTTGTTAAACGGTATTATCTAAATTTTTTGCAAGTTGAAACTTACATATCATATTTTACATGAAATCGCCAAATCTATATAAGAGAATTCCATTGAAAAAGTCTGCAGAAACTGACTTACAACACTTAATTATAAGTAGAGGCTATCACAACTACATTTTTCATGGACGTTAAGGGTGCTTACCGCAAACTTACATACCATTACTCTCAACTCACATTTCCTCAGCGCCGGCAAATACACGAATTAGCCTTCGTGTTCGTGCAACACCTGCACGAGATATTTCCCCCTTACCACTCATTGATCGATGAATTTTCCGCAGCAAGTTTTAATTTTTATGGTTTTGGGTCACTTTTTCGTCATTGGGCCCAACGTGCAGCCGAAGGGCGTTAGCGTCAACTGCGCGTACGCATCCGATCAAGCAATTTGTAAAACAATGTAATATACATGATGACTACGAATGCGGTGAATTAAACATGAGATTCGTTTGGGCTTTCGAAAGCGGACGGGCCTCAAGAGTGACGGCGTGGCGGCACGGCGGCGTTGGCCGAGCTCGTGAGTGAGCGAAGAGTATTTTGTTGGCCACACTAAGCCTGCTCCACATTGTTCGGTGTTCATGTCGTGCCGATTTGCTCTCGTGGTCTCGTTATGTGAAGAAGTTTGAAATAAGGTACTTTATGAATTTCTGTTGTTCCAGGTACTGTGAGCAGTTTGCTCTTTGACCTCAATTTGTCGGTGTAATGGTTACAATCGTGGCAGTGTGCATTGCATGAACCCAACGTATATTTTTGTAAAGGTGAGTCAGCAACATTCACTGATTCTGTTCCTACTTCAGACAGATTATTTTGACGTGGATAAGATGTATCTGAGGAATGAATGTAATAATCAACATAACCGAAATATTAAAATCATAATGTCTCTCAAAGCAATACGTATGTGATACAAGCACAGAACAGCATGTTCTGAACAGTTGGTGGACGAAATTGTTCACTTCGGATATAATAATGAAAGTCATCATCCATTTCATCGTTGAATAATGACGACAACACTTTATCATCATTTCTATAATCCAGATTTTGGATATTATTTTACATCATTGATATTCTTGTACCAACTGAATACGAGTGACGTTTCAAATGACATGAAAACAAGGATATATTAATTACCGATGAATAAAAGAAAACAGTGAGGTCAAAAACATAATACAAAACTCTGGAAAATGTATTTTACGTATTATATAATTACAGGAAAATATAGGAAACGAAATAGGAAGGAAAGATTACACGCGGTCTGTGGCCTCTTTGTTCGGGAACTGCTCATTCGTCTTATGTTGATCGTAGAAACCATGGATGACTGCCCATCAGAGCCTCCGTCCGCTTGAATTCTCCTCCGAACGTGCGGCTGAATTCGACCTATGCAGCCAGTGTCTACCACCCGCCACCGTCGGAACTCGCACCCTAGGACCTCCCGGGCAGAGTCCCTGCACTGAGCGGCAATGCTGGCTCCCTGAGCTCCACTCAGCCGGTACAAGGCATTGGAAAAGGGGATATTCCACTCATAATAGTTAGCACCCTCCAAACTACACGTTCAGCGGACAAACGTGTTACTTACTGAAAACTCTCATTTCATCCTCGTGCCGAATTTATTTAGTTTTTAGTATTAATTCTGCCATTAAGAGTAGGAACACAGTGGAAGAACACCTTAGCTTTACAATCATTTCACCGCGCAAGTCTTCACAGTACCTTCACCATGTCATCACGTCACCGCTCTTCTGTAGTGAAGAAACCGGGAGAGATGGCTCAGGCCATCAACTGATGTCACTGCAATCCCTCTGACCGAAAGGCCCTGGGTTTGAGTCCCGACGGTGGCAGTATTTTTTGACACTAGCTTCTTACCTAGGTCGAATTCCGTCGCTGTCTGGAGGATAATTCTAGCGACCGGCTGCTCCGATCGGTTCCGTAGTTTCTCCGATCAACACCAGGCGAATGCCAGAGCAGTACCCTAACAAACGAGCCACGGACCGCGCGCGATCTCACCTTCCTCTTCTTTGCCCTCACCCCTTACACACACACTTACACTAACATGCACTACACTACCCCACGTGCCGGGAGACCCATCAGGAGCTAAGAGCATGTTCCCGCTGGTGGGACATACGTAGTTGGGGAAACCTCCGCTAGCGGAGGGTAGGTGGCGCTGGATCTCGTCATACAGCGGGAAAAAGATCACCGCCACTTCCCGAGCAAAAACATGCATTACACTTACGGGACTAATGACCCTGGTAGTTGACGTGCCCGTAATTACTAATCCATCAATTAATGAATAAATCGAGTGAATACTGTAATGTCCATTTTGCTCGTTGGTTTCACTGCAGTTAACAGTGATTGCACCGTCTGAGCGAGGCGTGAGTCGATTCCCTTATCGTTGGTGCATCGTCCGCGAATGCACGAGTGGAGGAACAAACTTCCGGAGAGCGGTCCGGGCAGGACGCTGGCAATCCCCGCCGCCGGCCCTGTTCGGGCTGGTGGTTCCCTTTGCGGCGGGGCCCCGTTCCACTTGCGAGGAAACTTTGATGGACTCGCCCCCCCTCCCCCCCGCGCCGACCCTTGTCGTCCCTTGTCGCCCCTCGACGTCCCTCGTCGTCCACGTGGCCGGACCGCGCGCCGGAGCTCCTAATCGCGGCCACCGGAAAGGTCGCGTCATAGAACGGAAATCTGCCTCTGACGGAATTTCAATGTTTTCAAGCGGGAGGTGATTACGACGTGACATTTTCACGAATAACTCGATTGTCGCTGGGATATTACTGTTAGCAACAAAACCGTTCTGTTTTAGTAATTCACTTTCTGTAGCTTTAATGTTTACTGTCATTCTATTGTTATATGTGTGTTTCTGTTCACTCATTTTTTGGATGTATTCATCAAAATTTCAAATAGGTCAATTGCCTTATTGTTAGTTGATCCTACAATCCATAACCATTATAACATCCTTTCCATATATTAAATAATATTTTACCTCTTTCTTTTTTACATTCTTCTTCTTTTACGTTACCTCGTTTCCCCTGATCAACTCAACAACTTATGATTAGTAAAGATTATTAATCCTTTCATTTCATTTTATTTCACAAAATTGGACGTAGATAGTACGTTGGCAATTTTTTGATCCCTTCTGTTAAGCATTATGAGAATAACGTATAATTACTTGTTTGTACTAAACCTGTCGTTTTGAAGGACTATGTAGTTTGAAAGGTGACAGCAATAACCGAGAGCGATATTGATATTTTATTATTCATTCAATCCGCAGTAAATATTTTTTTTATTACCGACGAATTTATTTTTCCATTATAATTTTAATAAGTAATATAAAGCAATTGCAACACAATCACCGAATAGAAATTTAACACCCTCTAAAAATTCAGATAAAAATTCGATTCTGTTATGTGTTGATTTTTTTGTATGAGATCGCCCACCCAGTATGCAGTCCAGGAAAGGGGCACAATATGTACAATCTGTTGTTTTCAACGTTTTAAAATATAATTGACAATTTGCGCAATTCTATAATGCAATTAGTGGTAAGTGAATTCATTCAATGAAGAAAATCGGATTTCGACGTAAGCCGCAATAGTGTAGCAACATTCGATGGTGAAGTATTAAATGGTATTTGCAGTAGCTGGAAATCTCATAGCTATTAACCAATTTTTGCATTACGTGCACAGAATTATGTATATCGTGATTTATCTGAGAGACACGAATAATATTAACGCTATTTGATTAAAGTGATGAATCTGAAACACATTACGTAAACTCCTGATTTAGAAATATTGTCAATAAAGTATATATTAAACTACTTTTGCGACATTTGAGTTTATTATCGTTTGACAGAATATTGAAGAAACTAATGGCGTCTTTCTGGAAAAATTATGCTGAAGAAAGGCACACATGCAGCAATGATTCGTCTATTGCACATGTTCTAATGGTGTAGAGGGAAAGAAACAAGTTTCCGTTCGAGGTAATGAATATGCAACAACGTTTAGGATCAATCGTAACACTTTCCATTGAAGGATTTCCTGGAAATAGATATGATGTCAATAGAGCATATTGATCTAAAGTTTTAAAATTTAAAATGATTTCATTTTGAGCTACGTACATTATATTCCCCTCATCTTAAATTCCAATATTTGATCTTTGAAGAACTTTCATTAAAAATGATAGGGAAATTAATTATCTGCAAGGCTACGCTCACCATATACGATTTTCGAAATGCAGAGAATCTTGCTCGAATAGTCTAGAATTTCAAAATTAAATAACGTAAAATAATCAACAGTTAATACAGTTCTTCTTTAATAAAAGTGGTACGAGTTATCTTTATACGTAGGAGTTATAAATACTTTTCAGTATTTAATTATTTTTCTTAATATTCAATTGTGGATATTATTGAACATGGAGATATGTAATTCTCAGTTGGGACCTACATCTTATTTGTATATGTAATCAGAATCGATATAATTATTTGTAATGACGAAAGGTCTGCGACTGTTGATTACGACGAAGTCCATTGAAGTAAATAGTTTAAAAAGGAAGTAAATTAATTCCGTTCTTTAAAATAAATAATCACAGTAAAATAAAGTAGTCAAAACATGTGAGCGAAGCAAAAAAGCGATAAATTATTCTATTCTTGTAGAAACAGATGAGGTAATTTGCATTTATCTTACGTGATAAGAAAAACAGTACTCCAAGAATTTTATCTCGACAGATCTGGCCTTTTCAGTAGATTGGGAGGCTCCGAGACAGACCTCAGGAGTGCAGCGATACGTGACCAGAAATGCAATACCAAGATTCGAAGGCGAATCGCACACTTTGTGGGTTGCCCGTAGAAAAAGGAAGGAAGCTAATCACGGGTTGTAGCTCTGCTTTTCTCAAAACTCGTTATTCTTTGTGTTAAACACATTTTGTTTTGCAATTAGAGGGATAATTAAAAAACTTTCCCTGAATTATTATTTTTTACACTTTCCCCTTTTTGTAACAACTTGGGTCACTAGTATTCCTTCTAAAACGAACTTACAATTTCGAATCGTCTCTTCCTCATCACTCACCGAGTTAAACGAAGTGAATTCATTATAATTTCAAAGAGATTGCCAAACATTTTCTTCATATTCATAACAAATATTTTTCGTTAACATGAACATTCACTTCTACTTTAAGTTTATAATAATAATAATAATAATAATAATAATAATAATAATATAATAATAATAATAATCTCTCAAAACTTTTCGCTTCGGTCCACCCCCTCTCCCTCTTGTTTCTTATTTGTCACTCTCCATAAAAAGAAACGAATTTTTTCAATGGCTCTGTAGTCACTTTTCTTCGATCAACCATGTCATTTCTTATTTGAACAATAATATTGTAATCATTATTTTTTATATCATAGAATTATCAGCTACTTTCATGTGTTGCACCGGATTCAATACGCCATTTTAGTCGTGTAGCTGGTGATGAACTGAACCAGGCAAACATTCTTCCGCGTATTATAAAGCCCCTCTTGGCGTCAAGGTACTACTTTGCATCAGGGCTGCTCCAATTCATGAATTGGAGTCAGCTGGTCCGCGTTTCAGTCCCCTTTCGCTAGACAAGATCCGATCACCGCTCCTCTCCCCTAAATTCGGACTGACCTAACAAGCAATAGGCCACATTGCTAGCCAGCATTTAAGCGCTGGGGCAAGGCATGCAGTTCCTCCTGGCAAATTGAGCCTGTCTTACATTATTATAATATTTTCGCCCTTTTCCCCTCTTAAACCACGCAATGCTGCTGCCCTATTGCCATCTCGCCTGCCCCCACCTGGCCATCGCCTCCGCGCCCTCTTCGTAAGAGGCCGGGCGTGAAAGTCGATTGGCCTTCGATGTTGTGCACCGGCGGGCGGTCGTGTTGCATTTGCACGCGCAGATAACGCAGCGCAAGACACGCTCGGCCTGTCCTCTGCTTCGAGCCTGGCCGCTCGGGTAACACAGCCACGCTTCAAACCTAGTAGATGGCTGTAGCAATTAAACCTCGCGGCTTAAACCTCGACTGGAGAATGCTTCCGAAGGGTGGAAGATCCTAGCGGTCTGTTATGCTTACAGCTTGTGCAAGGTATCTGGTCAAATGCCAAGAAAAATTAAATAATTTAATACTATTGGCAATAAGAGCTCTGCAACATTGCTGGTGTCGGGTGTCGAAAATGGGGACCTGGAGCAGGAAAAATCGGCTGTTCTGACACAGCACACGTGAATACCGAAGCTTCTTTCTTCCTCAACCATGTCGTGAACTGGGCAGTAAGCAGTGCCACATTGAGTATGAAAAATCAGTTGGTACGCGCAGCATGAGAATGGACTTAAATAGCGCTCTGAAAAATCCTTTCATTTTTCAATATTCTTGCATTTTTCAGTCAAAAACTAAATTTTTTGGTTTTTTTTCAGTTCCTCGATACCTAATAAAACTATTTATATCGTTACTATGGCTGCTTTGTTAATTTATGCATTTATTCGAAATCAGTAATATGTATTTCCCGCTCTAAACAGAACCTATATTTGCGCAGACAGGGTTCAACGAAAGGAATGAATGTATCACTGAGACAGTGTGTGTCTGTGCCTGATGGCAAATATGTAAGTAACATTTAGATGGAAAAACCGAAATCAATGTAATATTATAGAGCGATTCTTATTAGAATGGGACGATTTGACAGCTAGTGCTGGTAACACAACTGAAGGTTCTGTGGTCGTTGTGACGACCCTATTAGACTCTCTTTCCTCCATTCGTTCGTTTGCAGTTGGCTAACTTGTAAATGGCTTCGACTCTTCTATTTTGTGATGTCCTTCTCCGACGAAAATACAGTGCGCCACGGAAAACAGGAAAACTGAAAATTCGAAGTTAAGAGATTCTTCTTTAAAAATTATTTTTTTATAAACATTACATTGAGTTTTGTTTTTGTGTGTTAAGTGTAAAGTTCTTTTTTTTAAATCGAGTCTTGAATGTGAGATGCGTACTCGTGGCGGAACATATGTTTCTGGCTTCTGTGTTGAAAGGTGGCAAGCTCTGTGTTCCAGAGCGTTTTGTGGTTCTCTGCTTCGTATATTTATTTTTTATATAATTATGACACGAACCATGAGAATCCAGAGTGGGCGCAAAGTGCAAAGTGCAGAAATAGATGAAAATACACATGCTAGATATATCAAGGAATGCATTGAAATGCATAACATTAGTGAAATATAAAACAATTATTAAAACAAATTTAAATTATGACAGCATAGTACCAAGTTTTGATAGTCGGGGTGTTATAATTATAAATAAACGACCCTCTTCACTACAAAAATGCATGAACCATTCGCTGTGAAACGTCCAGAAAAGATATTTGAACATACTCTGAAAAATCATTTTTCTTTCTATTTACATTCATGGCAGTTTTCTTTTAATGAATGTGAGAGCATGTTAAGACATTTTCCCACATACGTAAATAAATTTCAATATTTCCCAGACTCAGGTACGTGCATAAATCTAAGCGAAACTCAGACTTCTGTGCGTTTCAGTTATGCCTTCGTGGTAGCCTTAAACAAACACTGCGAAGGGGCGTAACTAAACAGCTGACGCGGCGGAGGGATACTCCAGTTAATTACACGTGATGTTCACTTGTTTCGCGCAGTCACATAAACCACATCAAGGAAAGCAATTTTCGGTGATAAAGTACTTTACAACATGTGAGAAAACGAGCGCAAAGAGAAAGCATAAGAAATAAATACGTAACTGAAATAAACATGGAAGACTGGAGTGGACACTAATAATTGTTCTCAAGGTGTCTTGTTTTCACTTTAAAACCAAATCTTTTACTTTCTCGCTACCGCTTTTGCAGTAGTGAGAAAGTTATATAAAGCTGCACGAAAAAACAGGCGTATTTTGGGGAAAATATCTTATTACAGGGCCCTGGTAAAGAAAAAGTGGATAAGTGCAGTTGCTAAATTTAGACGAGAAAAGTCTGTATCACGTGATGTAACCATAATCCTGTTTTGTGCGTCCTTGATATAGAACAATAGAATGACAGCTAAACGTCTGTCCGTCCTCCGTCCATCTGTCCATCCGTCTGTCCGTCCTCCATCCGTCTGTCTATCCGTCTTGTCTGTCGCTCCGCGTGTGAACAATGCTAGCGGCGTAACCGTTCAGCCGATTTTCTCTAAAACTCATATTCCCCGAATCGATATTACTGACGTCGCGTCCCCTTAAATTTGTAACCGACATTTTTTTTGGGGGGGGGGATACTTTACATGAAGCCCCTGCGACATTTTCCATATTTTCAAAAAAAAAAATGTTCCTTCATTATTGATTAAATTTTGTTGTTGGTTAGTATGAAGGCAGTTTAAGAGAATTGTGCAGGTCTCACTTTCGTTGACAACTGATTTTTCAAAAATTGCAAAAATTCAATCTTGTTTAGGTGTCTTCCTACAACTACAGTTATGAAGATAGAAATATTTTTCTTTAATGAAATCTGTTCCTTAATTATAGATTTTTAAATAAGATCATGTACAGTTTTTCGAAAATTTGAGTATTTTTTTGCTAAATTTTGCATGATAGTACGGGCGAGAAAGTACGTGCTGTTTTAGCACCGCTTGTATGTTGTACACTTGGGAAAACTTCGCTGGTGCAAAACGTTTTTAAAATGTTTAGTTTTCTGTATCTTCTTTTGAGAACTACAAGAATGTGAGATACATTTTATAAAATGCAGAAATGTGGATTTATTTTGCCTCTGTAAAGTAAATGCACCTTATCTAGTCACACAGCATTTTCTGTTCTCTTGTGTGAATAAAAAAAGAAAAAGAGTCTTGAGTAGCTGCGAGATAGCTGCAGCGCGTGTACTAGAAGTCTAGTGGAACACGCCCAATGGGATTTTCATCGGTTTTCATGCACTTACACCCAGCGTCATATATTAGCAAACATTTTAAAAATGGCGGACTGGAACTGTCTGTAGAGACAGATAACTGGCAAATTTGGATGACCCTGAATATCACCTACAAGATAATAAGTTAAAATACACAATTATATTTAATATTTATCATGAGTTGTGAAGTATTTTACACAATTTTACAAAGAATATTTTTGGTTTAAGTTATTAAAAAATTAAGGTATTAATTTGTTGACTTAAAAATTTTCACTTCAAAAATCTGTAATTTAATTGTACAGCTTAGAAAGTTTTAACGTATAAATACACAAAACATTTTCTCATAAACTAGAGGTTCTTCCTTTATCATTTATCACTGATCACGTAACATGAGGAGGGTCAATAAAGACGTTTTAGATTATAGTGTTTTTTACGTTAATAATGTGTGCTGTGGTTATTAACGTCACTGACCCTGCGGGGGAAAAACATCGATATAATTTTGTTTTGATAGGAAATACATTTGGTGTCGCAATAACTCATTTGTATCATCGATCTCCGTGTGTGTCAAAGTGAAGGGGATTTGTGGGCGGGCGGGAGAGATGCGGTAAGATTATAAAGACGTATGGGCTGTAATAACCAATTGCAAGAAAGTTATAAAGTGATTCGGGAAACATTGAGTGCCAGATTAGTTTGCTTGGTGGCAGGTATTTATATTCCAATCGACTTCATTATTATTAATTTGGATAGGTGTTCATTCGTATAACAGCATGGAAGGAAAACCCCCGATTTCGCAACTAATAAAACCTTAATTTCTTCTTCTCTATCAACAATTAATTGAATCGCGCTTGGTAGTTAATGTACTATTGCATGGTTTAAACTGAATTCTTATTAGAAAAAGCGTTTCAGAGAAGAATGCTTCGAATGATTCTATAATAATAGTAGTTATGCTTGATTCGCGAAGGCAAAAACAGGAATTATTGCACAGAGCTATACTAAAATCTACAGACGACTGTCAAAAGCATTCTATATTATTTAATATTGCAGAGATTAAAAACAAATTATCTTTCTGTTGCGTCTAGTTGTAACATGAAGATATGAATATACGGGAGTGAATTGTAATGATTGTAGGACTGGTATAGAACGTTCGATCAGTTGACGATAGTCTTAATCTCGGCTGATTATGAGATTCGAATTGTTCAGTTCAGGTGGTAGATGGAATTGGATAAAAAAGTAGAAGTCATCCTAAATTATCTTTTTAAATGCTTAACGTAATTCCTGAATAACACGACGTTTAATTATTGGTAGATTTCACCATATTGTTCAAAACAGAGAAAGAAGTGTATTTGAATACTGGCTTGGTTTGATTTATTACAGTAGTATTATTACAGAAGTCTCGTGCATATCCCTTAGCGTATTTTTCAAACACTTTTGTTTTTTTCCCCAGTTTCTTCCATTATTTTCTGAATTATATACCTTGTATAACATCACAAACCATGACTTCATTTTTCTCGTCGTTAATGTATTGACAGACTCATGCCGATGCAATCCCTGTATCTGGGGAACACCAATGAGGGGAGGAGTATACACAGCGAACCGAGAAATAAATTGCAATATAACTGAAGGAACGTTATTTTGTATTTAAGAAGAATAAGTATTTAGCAATATGTTAAAATCATTTTGTGCATGCTTGTTTTAAATATTTTTTTGGCTTTTGAAGTAAGACTAGTATATTTTCTTTACTCGCAGTTCTTTTCACGGGGAGACAGATGGCCACTCCTTTTATTTTTTATTCATATTTTTAAGAACTAATTCAACGACACTATGTTGCTGTAATTTCACAACAATTCTCTACATTGTCACGCACTAAAATAAGGTTTTAACGTGATTATGGATAGGCGTTGTAAAATAACGCCGGAGTTTCCACGAAATTATTAGTCATTGCGACTGTTTCGATTCTTTCTGTAAACATCCATTAAGCATCGAATGAATGATTTATTACTACGGTTTCAGAAGGAATAAAATACCTAAAATTAAAAAAAATGAACTCTTTACCAAAAATGAAGACAAAACGGATGCTGGGGATTCGTCGTTTCCCCCTCCCATTGGTTTGTGCCCGGTAATGGGACTGACAAATTAGCAACATCAACAATTGTCTCCAGTCTGTGTGGCAGCGTGTGTGAATGTGCCTGGTGCATTGAGTTCAATCAGAAAATGAAATTTAAACGTAGTCTTTAGATGAATGCATAAGCTGGCTGCCATATATGAAACATTCAATGTAGGAAATAGTAAAAAAATGCGTGAACGAGCCAGTTCGCAAACTGGAGCATTGTGAGGGCCCGTTAGCGTGATTCGAAAACAACCCACGAGTGGGTAGTGCAGAAATACGCAGCAACGAAAGCTTAGAAGCTAATGCTTTCTGTAAGAGCATAATTGTACTTGACAATTGTTTATAAAACCTTTTTAGAAATATACAGGAATACGCATCACGTGTGTAGTATTAAAAATATGTCATTCTACTATTATCATGTCCGTTTTACTCCCGTCGAATGGTAAATGGTCGAATGGTGCTTAGAATAGGCCATTCTAAAAGTGCCTGTCTTCACGTTTGTTTGCTTCGATTCATTGATCGATGTTTCCGAGCACGCCAACTGCTACGGTCATTAGTTATGATAGTGTAGTGACTGTTTCCATCTTGGTTGGTGGCGGCGTTCCTGCCTCAATTGTTGGGGAATTCATGTGCCAACCTACAGGTCGGCTCGTGGGAGAATATCCTCTCCAAGTATCTTCCACAGCGGGACAAGTTACGAAAGCCCGAATGATACCCCGACATATGGTAGTGCGTGAAGTATGGAGAAGTGCATGTGGCCGTAAGGGGAGGTGAGGGTACAAAAAGATGAAGGAAATACTGTAGGAGATCGGTGATCCGTTTGTTAGGATACTACTCCGGCATTCACCTGGTATTGACTGGAAGAACAATGGATATCTGCAGCTATCGATCAGTGCTGCCGACCGCTAGAAATCTCCTCGAATTCGACGTACGAAATAGCTACTTTCGAAAATGTCGCCACCATCCGGTCTCAAACTCCCGGTCAGAGTGGCTGGAAATTCGTTGCAACGGCAATGTTGTCTCTGAGCCAACTCATCCGGATTGACAGTTGCGTATAAAGGCCATCGTGAATGGGGCGTTCGCGTGAAAAGCGCCCGTTTGCGCGCCCTTGTGAATGCGCTCGGGTCGTGAGCGCGCGTTCGAGGGCCAAAGGGCAGGTCGCGCGAGGCTTTTGCTCCCAAAGGCCGTCTCTCCCCCGGGGGGGGGGGGAGGAGGCAGCACTGGACCGCCGCTGCTGAAGTCCTGTTTACCGCGCGCTCTCCAAGAGCCTACGTGTGTCAGGACTCCTTGAGCGAAGGTCTGGGGCAATTCAAGAGTGCCAAGGCGATAATGGAGTGCGACAATGCTAAGAAGGTTACGCGTTTTTGGTTTTGTTGGAACTCGCGAGAGAGCCACTTCCATCTCGATCAGGGTTGTCGTTCAGTGTCCCTTGATCCGGTGTGCAAATGTTGAGATGGCTCCTTGTTTTGCTTCTAAACATAAATGTAGCATCTCATTGAGCACTTGTTTTAAGCTCTCCTTTTGCAAGTTGTGGTTGTAGAGTCGGGCGTGTGAGTTAATATTTTGTTAGCAATACTATGACACCTAATCTTTAGTTTCTTTACCGTTGAAAATAAGTTTTCTGTAAGTCGGAAACGAACATTTCTGGTTTACTTGTCTGCTCAAATATTACCCACCTCTCTTCGTTGGAACTTAAGGGTCATTCAACTATATATAATATACAGAATGTCTAAATCCAGTTTCAAATTCCTAGTAATGCTTTCTTTTCAATTTTGCGTCTCTATGAGTTACAATCAATATTATTACACGAGTCTTTTTTAAGTATTTTTGCTTCTCTTTAGCCATATTGCACGAACATTTGTTTCTAGCTTCATACATCTTTTGAATATTACGCTCTTTTCAGAATCGTGTTGGCGTCGACTTTCAAACAAACGCACAGGTCTCGCACTCTGGCTGACCGGAGAATCGACTCCTGGGTATCTGGCTTGCAAATGGGCTCTTCATTAGATCCCCCTCCCACTACAACACTCGTGGAGTATGTTCATTAACATGAATTATCTCTTTGAATTTGAACAGGAGCTCCATTCTCGGCAACGGCTACAGATGCAGACACTGATTCGTCTGACTCGAGCGAGGCCTCGCCCC